TGCTAAAAGTTTCAATCCAGGGGATTCCATGTGCAATGGATGAATGTAGACACAGAGCAGCAAACTTGTATGAAGATGTAAAGTGCTAAAAAATATTTTTTTCCTTTTTCCTTTCCTTTTTTTTAAGAATCTGAACTGTGCCCTGTACTGCAGTCAACTGTTGGAATAAAGGTTTTATTTATTGCACTGAGTTGGTCTGGTGCCTCCTTCCAGCTCCCTGGCCTGTGTTGGGGCTGTGTGGGTCAGACCCCAGCTCAGTGCACCCCAGCTTTAGTCTCTTTGCTCATTTGCAGACGATTCCAAGACAATCTAGTCTTGCAGACAGAGCCAGCTCAGCTGGCTCCAATGATGACGCCTGGGTGGCTACCACCCTGCCTGGTGAGAGCAGGGTCTAAAAGGGTCGACTCCAGCAAGAGTGGGCACGGCCCGTGCGGGCATGCTCCTCGACCCCCCTTCTCCGCCCAGCAGGCGCAGCTGTGAGCCCACGGACCGACCGACCCACCGTGGGTCTCTTCCTGGCAGCTGCACCTCCCCACGAGCTGTCCATCCTGCCCGGCCCTTCTGCTTCCTTAGACGTGCGTGCTCTAGCTTTACCTAAATAAGCCTTGTGTTTCCCTTACAGTGCTGATGTCGAAGTGGCCAGATTTTGAGCTGCCCCCTGACTAGAGTTAGTAAGTTGCCCTGGTTTTGTGCCCATCCACCTGCATCTGCAGTGGCTATGGCTGGGCCCCCCGGCCCGGGTCAGGAGTATCTCCACAGGAGGGGTCTGCTACCTGGCAGGGCCCGGGGGTCTGCCAAGCTGCCTTGCTCTGAGCATTGGGTCTTGGTTTCGCTGGTTCCCTCCTCCTCGTGGCTCTCCTACCTTCCCTCTGCCTGGAGGCTTGTGGTCTAACTCTGCCCCGTCACCGCCTTCGCTGCCAGAGACGGGGCTGGCCCGGATCTCTTCTCTCCTAACCCTGCTAGGTGCTTGGTCACAATGAAGGGGCGACCTGGGGGAAGCCTCCCCCAGTCGCTCAGCATGTACCTGGGTTCCTCTGGTGTGTGTGGAGGGTTGGTCATGACCCCAGCTGTTGAGTAGCACAGCTGAACCAAGCCTGGGTCTCGGGTCAGGTGGACCTCTGCCATCAGACCTTGCCTCTCTGCCGTCTCATGTGGCTACACTGGCCAGGCTGCTTTTTCCCTGGGTGCCGGAGAAGTGGACCATTGGGGCAGAGAGGAGGGCACTGCTTCACATTGCCCGCCACAGTAGAAGGGGCTTTTATTCCCCTCCCACACCGCAGAGGGGGTGGCATGAGAAGCCAGGGCCTGTGTCCCTTCACGGGAGTGGTCGTTATCTCCCTGAGAGTCACAGTGATGCATCCCAGCCCATGGGCAGCCGGGTCACTCGGGCAGACCCACAGCACCTCACCCTGGTGTTAGCTCTCCCGGGGGCTCTATAATGGGGTTCTGTAGTAGTGATCTGCTGAAGTTTGCCGAGAGGGCGAAATGTCCTTGGCTGACTCTGGGCTGGCCACCTTCTCCCACCCAAGATGTTCTCTGGGAGGCCTGCATCTCCCGCCCAAGCCTGCCAGACCCCCTTCCTCACTGCCCACCGGGTCCCGCTAAGCCAGAGACCCGAGCAAAGGCTCAGGGAGGCTGCACAACCCTTCCTGGGACCAGGTCCCTTGTGTGCACGAGGACTGGGACTCGGGTGTGACGGACATAGGACAGAACAGGTTTGCAGGCCAGCCCGATGCTGCCATGTCACCCCTGAACACTCCCAGCCACGGTCTGCCTAGTCTTCCAGCCACTCAGCTCCAAAGCTCCCGTGGTTGTTGGGGGCGGCCACTCACACATGGCTCACCCTGGATTTAGGACTGTAAGAGGGTTGCTACCACCCTGGCCTTGGTTCTGAGGGTGCCTGTTAGGTAGAAGAAATGGAGGGCCATTCCATAGTTGCTGAGGAAAGTAGTAAAAAATGGAGATGGGGAAGGCAGGCTGTGCTGCTGCAGCGAGTTGAGCCTGTCTAGGTTTCTGGTCATCGCGTTCCGTTGTTCATGGCTGGCCGGCTGCAGAGCTGGGGAGAGAGCTGGTGTCCCACCGTGCCGCCTCAGCCGGATCCATCCTGCATAAGTGCCATCTATCGTTCCTAGACGCCAGGCATGGATGCCTGGTCCTCCTGGTCCGTTGTTGCAGCTTCTGTTGCTGAGTCCTCTCGCCGTTGGTGTTGGTCTCCGCTGGGCACACCGTGTGCTAGCCATGTCCTCTGCAGGTTGATTTTATCAGTATGCGTGAATGTCCTTGAAAGGGAGCACGCCCCTGGATTCTGCTCACTAGAACGTGTACAGAGCAGGACTTGGTGGTGGCTGTGGCATCTGTGGATGGTTCCCTGCTCTAAGTGGCCCAGTGGCTTCGTGGGAGAAGAGAAGAAAGTGTTTGAGAACGGAGAGCCTTTTGGGTGGGGCACTCCGGGTCTGAACTTCCATTCTGGTCCTAGCTGGAGACAGATTCTTTTGCTGGGTTAAGTTTGAGCCAGATGGGCAGGAGCTAAGCATGGTCAGTGAATCCCTGGGCCATTCTGCCCAGGCCTGGTCCCACGATGACCCTGCCCCGGGACCTGGGGCAGCTTGCTCGTTGCTCTGCTCTGTCCCATTCCCTCAAGAGAAAGACATGTCCTCATTCCAAGTCTCCCCAGAGCTGTTGCCTTCGCCGGGCTTGAGAGCCCTTCTGTAGAATGTGGAGTGGGCCAGGGACAGCTAGCCACACCGGAGGCTGCAGCTGGCACCCTCACTCTGATTGGCAGGGTCCCTATCTCACACCTCGAACAGCCACAGTAAGGGGCTGGGGGCCGCAGAGCACAGGAGCCCGGCATGGCAGAGCAGAGAGTGGCCCTTAATCTCTGGCCCTCAGCAGAAGCGAGCGGCCACAGACACCGCAGAACCCCACAGCCGGCAGGCAAGGGGCCTGAGCCTCCTGCACTTAACCTTCTAAAACTTCACAGTCCGGGTGTCTCAGATTTTTAGAAACTCTTCAGGAAAATGTAGGGTGAGGCTCTGCCTATGTAAGTCTTCATGGGGGGACCCTGAATGGAGAGCCTGCTCGCCCACCCTGGGCCTGCCATCAACCCCCAGGCTTCTGAGAACCCACCAGGCACAGAGGTGACCCCATTCCAGGTAACGGATGTAGAGCCAAGCACGCAGTCCTGTGCCTCGCGAGTCCCGTGTCCACGAGCCATCCATCCGTGCTGTCCCTGTGGCGCTGTCCGGCCCCTCCCATCCACCGCCCTGTGCTGTTCCCACCGCAGTGGGCCCTCCAGAGCCCGATGGGGGACTGCGGGGCAGGGCCGGCTGCCGGGAGCGCTGGCCCGGCGCGGCCCATCGGTGCTCCTCTGTTCCATCCCCACTTCCTGTCTTGAGTCTTGTTCGTGCATCAGCTGTGGCCCGAGGGGCACGTGGGTGGGTCAGGCGCCACTCGGGGGAGGTGGCTAGTCCCTCAGCAGAGGGACCTGCCATGCAGCGATGGCGTCCGTCCACCCCCCCCCCCAGCCCGTGGAGTCAGGGCATGTGCGCCTCGTGTCTGTCATGTCTGTGTGTCTATGGTGTGCCCTCCTGCGGCGCCCTGCATGCCCAGGCTGGTTTGTGTGACCTGCTGACCTCTGTGCACGCGGGAGAACCGCCTTGGGCTCAGCCTGGGGGTGGGGACAGCTATAGCAGGGCCTTCCTTCCTTAAAGGGCGTGGTCAGGGCTCATCCACCCCGAGTTGGGAAGGGAACAGCTAGTCCTCACCCTCATGCCCGTTCTGACGCCCAGCGGGGACAATGTAAGGCGGCAGTGGGTTATCGCACTGGGGGCTAACAGGTCTTGAGACAGCACCTGGCTCCAAGAATAGGCCACTGGGGTCTAGTACTAAGGGGGGAGGAGCACTCCCTGGGGTGGCCCGGTGACACAGCCTAACCGGAGCACCTGCCCAAACTGAAACTGCTTTTCCTTCCCCCCAGGAATCCCTTTGCCAACGTCCATCTGAAACCAACAGTGACCAACGACAGATCAGCCCCTCTGCTCAGCTGACGGGCTCATCCGCGTCGCCCGCGTCCCCACCCACGCAACCGAGGGTAAGCTGCTGCGGTGTGCTCCTGTCTGCAGAAGACAGCCTGGCCCACTCCCTGGCAATGTCTCACATCAGCCCAGCCTGGGCTGGGTCCCAGGTGTCCCTGGGGAGGTGTGGCTGCCCGAAGCAAGAGGTCGCTGGCCACGGGTGGTGCCCCCGACAGAGGGGACAGAGCTCGGGACAGGCATCTCCGACTGCGAACCCTTGAACACAGAAGAGGACATTCTGTCAGCTTGTAGCTAGGAGGGAGCCTGTTCCCATGTTGATTTTTTTTTTTTACTTTTAAATTTTTTTTTAAGCTCATACGTGTCTGGTCAATAAACATGTGCCTACCTGTATGCAGCGTGTGATCTGTTAGCCTGGCGGCAGGGCCGGGAATGGTGTGAGGGCACGCCTGTACCTTTGTAAGAGTGATTTTTCGTGAGCACAGCTGTGCTGTGGTGCCTACAGGAAGAGGAGAACCCGGCCCCAGCCCAGCTCCCCGGCTGCTTCCACTTCAGCTAAGATGCAGGGTCTGTGTACAACTTCACCAGATATCATCTGAGTTGGTGACGGGGGTCTAGGGTGCAGAGATCCGGGCAGAGCTCATTTATCAGTTCCCCCAGGAAGAGGCCTGGAGCCTCCTACCCAGCAGGCAGGCACATAGGCTAGTTCCGGGACAGGGCGGGGCGGGAGCATAGGAGTCCACTCCCCTGCCTCCCACTCCACCGCTGCAGGGCCGAGGACGGGCTAGGGTAAGTGGACGGACGGCTGCTCTTCGAGGGCCCCTTCCGTCTGACCTCCGAGAGCTTTCTTGAGGGAAAGGAAAGGGCTGAAGGGGGCTAAAGAGCAGAGGTGACAGCCGGGTTCCCCATCTACCATGCCCCTGAGGGTGTTAGCTGCAGACCCGGAAAGAAAACACTGAGCATACAGGCTGGGTTTTTTTGTTTGTTTTTTTCTTTAGCTTGGTTTCTCTTAAAAAACAAGGAACAAGAAAATCATTGCACCGGCATCCTATCCTCAAACTAAAAACAAAAACAAAACAAAAAACATTGCCCCACCCCCAAAGCGACAATATACTTTACATGTCTTTGGCAACAATAACTTAGAATCACCCCATTTCCATTCACTCCAGCAAGTTACAAAAATATTCCCTGTACAGCCCACCCCAGCCCTGTTTTCTCCCAGCCCTGCCTGCAGGCAGGGGCCCACAGCGGCCGTAGGGTACACTCTGTTCTCCTCTTGGTAGGGTATGGGGCAGGGCCCTGCTCTGCGAGGGAGTGCTGCCCACACTGCCCTAGGGAGGGCAACTCTGGGCAGTCCGGCTGCAGCCTGGAAGCCTCCGTGATATGCAGCAGGACCTAGGCCAGAACCATCCAGACAGACCCCGTGGAGAAGGGAAGCCAGCCACAGACTCTGACATAAGGGCTTGAAGCCCAGGGGTCCGACCTTGCTCAGAGCAAACCTAGACCCAGGTCAGAAAGGTGCGGAGAACCCAAAAGGGACCTGCAGGCTTAAAGCCACCTCGAAACCTGGCCAAGTGTCCCTTGAACACGAGGCAGAGTGTAGCCAACGGCGTGCAGGCCCTTGGACTGCATAGCCCTGGCCTGAGGCCAGTTCACCACCAACAGCCATATAGGAAGTGTGGCTGCGGGGCGGGGGTGGGGGGGGCGTCTACCCAGCAGTGGGGAGCCACCCAGGGTCAGGGGGTCCCTTCTTGAGTGTGTATGTATATGCTTACAGACACTCACAGGCCCTGGGGCTGCAGGTCTGACCAGAGGCTAGCAGCAAACCCCAGTGTCCACCCAGGACACAGTCTGCCATCAGGACAGCACATCCGGGGCTAGATCCAGGCCTCCCATCCACCTGCTTCTCCAGGACACTGCGGGGGGGGGGGGTCGACGGGTCCCCGCTCATTCGTTCCCGGACACCATCCTTGCTGCCGCCTGGGTAGGATGGCAGGGTCTCCAGTGACGCCAGCCTCCGAAGGGTGGAACTACCTGGGTCTCAAGCCTCTGTGAATCGGTCCCCAGCACTTGCCGCTGGGCCTGGTAAAGGGGGGTGTTACGTGTGAGCATTGTGGAGAGAGAGCCAGATGCCAGGTTCTCACACACCCAAACCCACCCACCCCCTACAACCGCCTGGCCCACCAACGGGCCTGTTCAAGGTGGTAGAACCTGGTAGGTTGGGGGTGGGGTGGGGGGAGGTAGGCCCATTTCTCTTCCCCGTGTCAGCCGGACCCAGAGCTGGCAGTGCTTAGCACATGTCTGGAACACATGGGAACTGAGGTCCAAACGAAGGAGGCGTGGTCATGGCCAACGTGGTCATCTCCCTGTGCCAGGGATGAGGATGACCACAGCCAGGGCAACTGGGGAAGAGGTGTGGGGGAGGGGACAGGGAGACAGGGGTTGTCAAGCAGTGGGTGGGCTATGGGAGGGGAACCTGGCAGAGAGGACCCTACCCTGGTGCAGGCAGGGGAGGGGGCTCATGACAGGATGGGCTCCGGTACCACCGCTTGGGCAAGTCCCCACAGGGACACCTAGCAAGAACCTCAGGTGGTGGCACGCCAGTAGATGGCGGTAGGAGTAGAGACCGCCATGCTGGGAATGTTCTATTGAGTTGCAGGAAACCAGGGCGGGGCTGGGGAAGAGCCTGCGGTAAGGGGCAGACTGGGCAGAGGGTGGGCGGGTCAGGAGGCAGCCGGTCAAGTGTACCTGGACACGGCCTATGCCCAGAGGCCAGGAGCCAAATGCTGTTAAGAGGACAATGTCAGGGGCTGGAGAGGTGGCTGAGGGGTTAAGAGGACTGGCTGCTCTTCCAGAGGCCCCGGGTTCAATTCCCAGCCCCCACATGGTGACTCACACCTGTTACTCCTGTTCCAGTTTATGCACATAAAATAGAGTTAAATAATTTTTTTAAAGAAGAGGACAATGTCCAGCAGACCAAGAGCACCTAGGTCCCCCCCACCCCGCTGACACCCACTCACAATGTCCCTCTTCTCCACCTCAGCCCCGCCCACCACACTCACCTCCCACCGACGGGGACTCCGAGTCCGATACATGAGTGATGGAGAATCGGGAGGCGGGTGTGGGAGACACGGTGAATCGTGACAAGGGCGCGGCTGGCGCGGCGGTGGGCGTGGCCAGGACAGGGTCTGCAGGGTCCAGTGCGGTCGCCAGAGCAGCCTTGCTGGGCACCAGCGGGAAGTTACCATCCCACTCGAACCTACTGCCTACGAGTCGGGTCGCCGTGTGAGTCACTGGCCCTATGGCATCTCCCAGCCCCCACTTCAGGTGACGTCACATTCACAACCCAGCCCTCCCGTGACAGTGACGTCACGATCTGCCCCCCCCCCAACACCTGGCTCACCTTGTTCAGGAACAGAGCTGTCGGGCAAGTGGTCAGCCCGCCGCGGCAGGCCAGGGGCGCTGGGTGAGCCGGGGCTGCCCTCCAGGAACGTGGGGAGGGATTCCTTCGTGCTGGGGAAGGGCTCCCCAGTCTCTCGGGTGGGGCTCTCCTGGAGGGGCAGAGCGCTGTGTGACTCGGGCTGCCCACCCCCCTCCCAGCCCCTGTGCGTACATGCACACAGCAGCAGCCCACCTGGTCGAAGAGGTAGACCGTGACATCATCAAAGAAGGACACAGCCTTCTTCTTGCGCTCCAGGTCCTCGCAGAAGGCCTCGGACAGAAGGCTGGGCATCTTCAGCAAGCTGCGCAGATTTCGGGCACTCTGGCTCTCAGCCACCACCACGGGCACCGCTGGTGGCTCCTCCTCACTGTCCTCGCTGGGCTCCTGGACGCTGTAGCATCGAAGCTCCTCGTCAGACTCGTCGCTGTCCTCACTGTCCTCTTCGTCCAATGGCTGGCCCTCTAAAGCCCCAGGGTGGCCAGGCAGGGCCAGGCAGAGCGGGGATCTGGGTGCCGAAGGGCTTCCCGTCTGCCCGAGCTGTGCTGGCACTGACAGCTGTCCTGGGGGGCCCCGGGGCTCCGTGCCATCGCCTTCTGAGCTCAGTGGGACTGGGGTCAGCAGGAAACATTTGGAATGACTAAGGCCGGGCACAGGCTGCACCTGGACGGGGCCTTGAGTCGAAAGAGACTCTGGCTTGGGGCCACCTGGCAAGGGCTCCTCTGTCTGCTGTGGTGGGGACAACGCCTCCCCGGGGCTGGTGTCTGGGGCCTCCCTGGATACCTCAGGCCCGGGAAAATCCTGCACAGACGGATGCCCTGAACCAGGTGGGCTCTTCAGGTCCTTCTCCTCTTGGGAGGCCTGGACCCCACCGCACTTCTCAGGGCCAAAGGTGGGTTCAGACTCAGCGTCCAGGTCCGAGAAGTAGGCAGAGTCACGATAGGGGTTTTTCTTGCTGAGGCCGCCAAGGGAGACAGACAGCAAAGTCTCGGGCCCCGGGCTCTCACCCTCTGAGGCTAGCTCCCCGAAGGCCTCAGGCTCGTTTGACTCATGGGCCTCTTTGAGCACAAACTCTGGGGACTCATAGTTCTCCGTTTCATAGCCACTGTCCACAGCACGGGGCTGCCCAGCAGGGGGACCAGCAGCCGAGGGGCTCAAGACCTCACAGCCTCCGTCACTGGCTGAGGACGGGATGTCCAGGGAGTCCAGGGAGTCGGGGGTCTCGACCTGCTTCTGCAGACAGCGTACGGCTGGTACTGCGCCTGGCTTCTCAGTGTGAGGGCCGTCACTGGACAGGTCGGTGAAGACCCCAGACGTAGCCTCAGTGGTGTCCTCATCCTCACTGCTGGGAGCCTCTTGCCCCAGAGAGCCGCTGCAGCTGTCCAGAGCGAGGGCCGGCTTAGGGGCGGTGACCCAGCTGCCAGCAGCAGGTGTGGGAGAGGCAGGCAGGATGTCGGGGGCGCTTGCCTCCTCCGAGGGAAGCGAGGCTCCTTCGTGCGATGGGGAGGGGACGGAAGGAAGGGATAGCTGGGATGCAGGAGAGCCCTCAGCCTCCCGGGCGAGTTTGGGCTCCACCTGGGGGTTGTCACCCCCACCTACAGCCACCTCCGTCCAGGGGCGTGTGGCCAGGCAGGCGGCAGGTGCCAGGCCTTTGGCAGGGCACAGAGGGAGGAGGCTGAAGCAGCGGCTTCGCCCCTGACCCGGGGAGGCTGCTACCAGCCCAGGCAGAAATTCTCTGGGATCCTCCTGGGACAGTGGGTGGCCCAGCTCGGGGGAGGCCCGTGGGGTCTGCTCTAGGCTGGAGCAGTCGTCCCTGTAGCTGTCTGTGAAGCTGCTCACATAGCCAGGGTCCCAGGATTCTGGGTCTCGGCTGCCACTGTTATTGTTGGCTGACACGTTAGAGCCCCAGTGTCCACACCGAGCTGCCCTCCCCGCCTTCCCCTCCTCCCGCTCCTCGTCACTGGGGGACGGCTGGGCCTCAGGACTCCCAGGGGGAGATGCTCCCAACGGGTCGTCGAAGAAAGGTGGGCAGAAGGTAGCCACGCCCCAGTCTATGTCTTCAGCCGGTAACATCGGGGTCCCCGGAGAGGGCGAGCGTGAAGGGCAGGGTGGCTCTCGCCTCCTGCGTGAGTGGCGGTCGCAGGGGCCCCACGGGCCCCCGGTGGGGGGCGGGTGGCCCAGCAGCGGCTCCATGACTAGAGAAGTGGTGGCGCTGTCCTCTGAGTTGTCGTCTTGGTCCGTCACGGCTTCGGGGCTGGGAGCGCAGCCCGCACAGTCGGGATCATGGCCAGCGGCAGGCACTGCCCCCTCTAGGCGGATGAAGTACTCGCTACCCACCGAGGGGCTGTGGGCGCTGAGCACCGGCACCACACCCGGCGGCGAGCCGTCAGGCGCACACAGCTCCTGCAGGCGTGCGGCGGCGTCGGGGCTAGACACGCCCCCCGGAGGTGGGAACGCCTCCGCGGCGGCGCCGCAGCCCGCCTCCCACTTGTATTCGAAGTTGAGTCCGCGGCTCGTCTCGGTTACCGTCAGCACGTCGTCGCTGTCCACGTGAAAGCCGTCACTGGTGAACTGTTCCAGCAGTGGGAAAGACGAGGCCGCAGTGAGCTCAGCAGCAACGGCCGGGCCAGCGGGACCCGACCCCAGGCCTGCGCTGCCACCGGGCCGCAGGGAGCGCCAGCGCCGCTCGAACTCCTCCTCCAACTCCGTGGTGCCCTTGGCACACAGGTAGGACAGCAGCAGGTGAACCTCTTCAGCCGTGGGCCTCTGCTCTGGCTGCAGCCAGCAGAATTGCATCACCTCGTACCTGCCGGGAGGCCCTCATGGGTGGCCCTGGCCTCACTCAGAGGCACGCTAGCCAGGGGTACAACCTGCCCTCCAGGGACAGTCAGGTACCCCATGCTCAGGGTACTTTGGGGGCAGTTAAGGCTATCTCCCAAGGCAGACCCAGTAGCCTGGGAGGGGCCCCGGGGTGGGGTATTTCCCTGGGACACCCCCCCCCCCGTGCCTGTTCAGGATGCGGGGCCCCAGCCGCTGTGTAGAGGTGGACCAAGCAGCCCCAAGCTGTGGAGTCCAGCCCCCTGGGCGGGGTCCTCACCAGCGATCAGACAGAATCAGCTGCAGCTGGGGCTTCGGCAGCTTAAGCTGCTGCTCTCGGACGGCGTAAGCCAGCACCTGCCGGTCCGAGTGCTGGGGGTAGGGCTGCGCACCCAACTCGAAGAGCTCCCAGATGGTCACACCCAGGGACCTGCAAGGGGGCAGCCACAGCAGGCATGGCTGAGCGCAGCTGCACGGTGTCCCCTGAACACCTGCCTCTCCGGGACTGGAGCTCATTACGCCGCAGCTGCCCCTCTCCTGGGGTACAGGTGCAAGCCAAGGCCCTGTACCCCATGAGGACGCACGGCCTAGAACAGTCGAGCATGGTGGGCGTCTAACCTACATGTGCACTTTGGCCCAGTGTCGGCGTCACCCGGTCCCGTCCTGAAGACCCCATACCCTCGACGGCCCAGGCAGTCCCTCTACCAGTGCAGGGACCACGAGTTGCAACTAGTTAGCCCATGGAGTGATCTCAGAAGGCCACACGGTGGCAGGCATGAGCACACTGTCCCCGGGCGCCAGCCTGCACCCCAGTCAGAGAAGGGAAGTGGGGGATGTTGGAGCAGGGGGCAGAGCTGAGAGTCAGCACCCCACTTCAGGGCACCTGACTGCCATGGCACCTGAGCAGGCGGCAGCCCAAGGCTCCCGCGGCAGCCAGGCTGGCACTCACCACACGTTGCTGGCCTTGGTCTGATCTACCACCAGGAGGTTGCCGTGCACCTCGTCCACCAGCTCTGGCGCAATCCAGCGCAGCGGCACCCACAGCTGGTCAGCCGTCACGAGGTAGTCTTCCTGCAGCACCCAGGGACAGGATGGGAGTTAACTCCAGTCAGTGGCCGCCCCCCCCCTCACGGCATACAGGCACCGCCTGCCCTCACTCACCCTGTATTTGCAATGCGACAGGCCATAGTCGCCAACCTTCACCGTCAGGTCAGCCGTTAGCAGGCAGTTCCTCAGGGCCAGGTCACTGCAAGGCGGTAGGCAGTGTCAGCAAAGCGTGCCAGCCTGGGTGATCCTTTAACCCACAGCTGGGTGATCTGGTTCCCTGGGCATAGCCAGGGAGGCAGGCAGGAAGGGGAGGGGTCTGAGGGGCCACCTGCCTGTGTTCAAGCCCTGGCTCCACACCCTGGCTATTCTGGAAGGCTCGTGTCAGCGGCACTTGGGACACGGCCGCTCACGTGAAGATAAGGCTAGAAGATGCTGAAGGACCCCCCACGCCCTCCACCCCGGCAAGGAGCTTCCTGACCAACACTAGAACCCCAACCTCTTCTACCCTTTCCCTGACCTGCCCACCAGTCCCAATGCCATAGAGCAAGGGTCTGTGCATCTGAAGTCCCCTTCAAGAACCATCACCCGAGCCCTCGGGTTAGAATGCACGAGGGACCCGAGGCATCGAGTGTGGCCGAGAGCCCTGCCAGCAGTCAGAGCCCCCCGTTCTAGAGTGTGGGTCTGCCCCGCTACACAGGGCTGTGGCTCAGGTCTAGAGCAGGGTGGACCACAAAAGCACCACCCAGGACTTCTCCAATTCAGCGGCAAGCCTGGGATGCTCTGGCTCTTATCCTGTTGCTTGGCGAAGGACAAGAGAGTGGTATGGGACACGCCTGCGTCTGCCATGCTGCTGCTATGCACAGGGTCTCTGGGTGAAGATGGGGCCATCCTGGCCTGCCTCAACCCCCAGGAAGACTATACCAGGGGACAGCCGCGGGGCGGGGTGGCCTGGGTCCGTGCCTACGATGGGGCAGCTGGGGCTAGGCGGCAGGCAGGACAGGAGGCTGGCAGCTGCCCTCTTCAACAAAATCACTGATGCTGGAGTCACCTGTGCCATCACTCAGCACCAGGATGTTGTTGGGGAGGACGGCCTGTGCAGCGTCGGGGCTGGCAGGGTCACTCGTCCATCGCCACTTCTTCCAGAATGTTCCCCCCGGCTCATGGGAGGCTGGGCATCCTGGCCAGAGGCAGGGCAGAGCCACCCCTCCCACTGTAGGCACAGCCTAGCCACTCCCTTTACGGCATAAGAGGGAAAACAGGCTGGGCTGAGTGTGGGACCTAAGTGTGGCTGAATCCTAGAGTACAGTGTGGGCTTCTTCACTTCGTTGTCCACAAGGTGAGTTCCAAACTTCAGTCTCTGCAGTTCTTTTGGGTTTTTTGTTTGTTTGTTTGTTTTTGAGACAGGGTTTCCCCGAATTGTTTTGGAGCCTGTCCTGGAACTAGCTCTTGTAGGCCAGGCTGGCCTGGAACTCACAGAGATCTGCCTGCCTCTGCCTCCCGAGTGCTGGGATTAGAGGCATGCGCCACCAACGCCCGGCTCTTTGCAGTTTTTATTCCTTTATTCTGAGGCACGGTCTTTTCTACATAGCCCCGGCTGTTCTGAAGCACACTCTGTAGACCAAGCTGGACTTGAACTCACAGACACCTGCCTGCCTCTGCCTCCGGAGTGCTGGGATTAAAGATACGAGTCGCCACACCCAGCTAGTCTCCACGATTTTAAGAGTTAAGAAATTCCTTGCAAAGTGGCTACTGCATGCTGTGTGTAGATGAACTCAGTTCACGAGACCCCAAAAGCGGGAGCCCTGTGTAGCTTTCTCGCACAGAGGCATTCTGTCTGAGGGTCATGGCTCTGGGGGGCCGGGGCCTGTGTCCTGTCACTACCCCTCACCTGTGCACGTAGTTGTGACGATGCAGATGCAGGACCCCGCATGCCACCTCACACGCCATGCGCTGCAAGGTCAGGGGGTCAGGCGCCATGGACTCTGTCACCCGACAGCTCCGCAGATAGCCTTTGAGGTCCCCCTGCAGAGAGAGCACACAGCAGCCTGCTAGCTGTAGCTGGCGGTGCCCTGCAAACCCACCCCGAGCGAGAGAACCCGGATCTGGTGGCCTGAGGTGCTCACAGCGGTTTCAGCAAAGCCTGTGTGCCCCGAGGCTGCCACGGTGGCCCCGATACAGAACCCTCAGCTCTTAGCGTCAGAGCTGTGCAGCAGCAGGTAAAGGGACCCGAGGCAACCAGAAGACCCAGGACTCAGGCTCTGCCCCAGGAGCTGTGTGAGCCCAGCCGCTGGCCCTCATGCTGAACCGCCCAAGCTCCCACAGTGTGGCTCGCCCTCTCTGAGCAGGCCTCCTCTAAGAGCACAGGGCGGGGGACTACTAGGACTCCGCTTTAGGGACGCTGAGGGGTCCCAAGAGGCAGAGGAGGGGCTGGAGAGATGGCTCAGAGGTTAAGAGCACTGACTGCTCTTCCAGGGGTCTTGAGTTCAATTCCCAGCAACCACATGGTGGCTCACAACCATCTACAATTCAATCTAGTGTATATGTAATAAATATATCTTTAAAAAAAAAAAGAGGCAGAGGAGACCCGCTCCCCGCCCCCCACGCCACTTCCCTTCAGGACAGCTGGTTAGAACCGGAAAGCCAGCTTACCAGAGGACAGAACTCCATAACCAGCAGGTATGGGGTCACCTCAGCACACTGGGCCAGGCACTGAAGCAGGTTGCTGTGCTGCAGGGCCCTGGAAAGAGCCCACGCATCTGAGTTGGAGGGCAGGAGGGGGCGTAGCCCAGGCCCCAGTGCAGCCCACCCCTTACCGCAACCACCAGGTGTGCGCGCCGCGCCCCGCCCCGCCGTGCTGGCCCCGCCCCCACCACCCCAGCGCACCTGTAGGGCTGCGCCTCCTCCAAGAACTGCATCTGCTCCTGCACGCTGGCGCTGGCCTTCAGCTCCTTCACCACCACCTGCGTGCCGCTGACGCCAGAGTGCACCTCCCCCAAGACCACCTGCCAGATGCGACCGACCGAGCATCCATCACCCGGGCCCTTTCCAGTCTCCGTGGGAAAGGCCATCTGGCCCCTAGTGCCTCGGGTGTTCGAGCAGCCAGCGGCCCGCCAAAGGCCTCTGGCTGGGACGCTCGGCCCAAGTCATCCGAGGGCTCCCACTCCTCTCTCGCCGGGGTCCACAGTGAGGAAGGGACGCTCGGGTGCCCGGGACAGTCAGGGGTGTGTATGGGAAAGAGCCCTTCCCAGGGGACCCCCCCCCAGGAGAAGCAAGCCCACACGCCTTGCTATTCCGGCCATCCTGAGGCGTGCTTACCTTCCCAAACCAGCCGTGGCCAATCTCCTTTAGGTACAGGAGGCTGTGCCGGCCCAGGTCCGTGGACTTGAGAAGCTGCACTGCATTAGGATACGAGACTCAGGAACTACCTGGCCGCTGCTGCCTCTCCATCTTCCTCACCAGGCTCTCCAGGGCCCAGGGAGCTACCCCAAGTCCCCCAGCCAGGGAGGCTCCGCTAACGTGGAGGCCACGTTTGAGGGCTGCCATCAAAGGACAGTGCCTCTCAGGCTGCGGGGTGACTGCTGTGAGCAGAGGCACGGGTCCCAACCTGCATCCAGGCATATCTCTGAGCGAGCCTGAGGAAGGGTCCTCAGAGCCGCAGGGATAAACCAAGCCCAGGCAGCAGAGTCTGGGAGGCTGCTTTGGGTGAGGCAAGAAGCTGATGCTGAGGTCTGGGAAGACACCAGAGCGACCCACCCCCCACCCCTGCCACAGGCTGGCATTCAAACACCCATCACACCAAAGGCGCCTTTGTTGGGGGCTGCTTGGCACAGCCCTGTACGGGACACACTGGGCCCTTTCTCCCTGTAGGCCAGGCTGAGTGAGGTCAGTGGAGGAGAAGGGTCGTTGTGGGCAGAGAGGACAGCGCCAGGGCTCATTGCTCCCACTCATGTCCCCTCAGATTCCCTGAATTCTGCTCCCACACTGATAGCCCTGAAGGCCAGAGTTAGAGCTGTTTGGGAGAGCCCAAGGGGAAGGGGGCCAGCCCTCAGGGACTAATAGACTCAGGGAATGTCGGCTTGGTGCCCAATTCATGGGCGAGTTTAACCGGGTCCTGTGTCCTAGGACTCAGGCCCTGAACTCCAGACTGTCTGGATGCCTGTCTTCCGCCCTGGGGCTCTCTAGGACCTGTTATCTCAGAGCAGGTTCAGGGTTCCGGACAATGGATACCGGGGCAACCCCAGGAGGAGGAGAATGTTTGTGCGTTAGGAGCTACAGGCAGGGCGAAGGCTCAGACGGGCTAGACCATCCTTACTCCGAATTTCTCCCAACTTGAAAGAAGTTGCCCCCCCAAAAAAACAGCTGAACAACGGAGAAAACATGACCTCTGCCCTCTCCTGGGTCCCTGTCCACCCTTATCTCTCTGTCCTAGGAGTGGGGGCGGGCTAGGATCTGTGGGGTGTCAGCTATTATATCCTTGTCCCTGGACGGACAGGCGCAGGTGCAGCCCAGCATGGCAATGCTTCCAGTCAGCCTCAGGCTCCACACTCAAGCCTCGAAGTGTCTACAGTTAGGTGACGCCCAAGGCCTCTGGGAAGGCCCAGGCCCCTTGTGAGGTGCTAGGGGTAGCTACAGGCCTCTGACCCAGTGGATAAATGTGTTCATGACATGGACTTCCACGCCTGGATCATGCCTGACTTTTGAGCTCTCCACCATGAAGGACCACGGAAGCATGCCTGCAGCGTTGGGCCAGGCTGGAGGCTGGAGGGTCTACCTAAGTCTCCATTGGCTCAAACAGGCACTAAGATTCCCCCAGCCCCTGATGGAGGCTGGGCCCTTGGCTGGAAGGGTTGTGTTGAGAGCCTGGTGGGGCTGGCCCAGGGTTGAGACCTTGGGGCCAGCAGCACCCGCAGCTGCCTGACCCCCCCCCACTCAATATCCCTGGAGCCATCAGATGGACACTGAGGGTCAGCCCCTGGCTGAAACTTCCAGGCTAGAGAGGCTGCTATAGAGGCAGCCATAGTGCCACGCGACCGCCTTGACCAGGCCAGAGCTGGGGTTCTAAGACTCAGCCATTAACCCGTCTAGAGTCCGTGGGAGCAGGGAACTAGCCTAGGGGGAAAGATTCTGGGAGGGCAGAGCAGTCACAGGAGCCCTGCCTACTCTTGCCCCCAGGTGGGACCAGACCCCTCCTGTTGCTCACACTCCCTTTGCTGTGTGGGCAGGCACAAGGCCGCAGGAGTCTAGGGGTTAGTATCCTGGAAACAGCAGAGAAGGGCAAATAATCCTAGAACCAGGGCATTGGGCCACCTGCCCCCAGGTACTGTCCCTTGGATGGGGAAGTGACAGGTTCAAGGCTACTCTTAAGCCTGCTGACAGCTGGCTCCCCAGAACAGAAGGGGGTTCATGCACCTTCCAACCCAACCCATCCTGAGATGCATCCAAGGAGGACTTGGCCCACCCCCCACCGTATACGCCCCTGTGTCCCTGTCCCCGACTGCATCCACATCCAGAACCAAATTCGCAGGCTTCCACAGCCTACTGACCCCGAGGCACAACAGAGGGAGAGAGAGACGGGTCCACTTACCTGAGCGTCCCGGCTGCTTGGCCATGGGCAAGGAGACCTCAGTGAGGGGCAGGACATACACATCGGGGCCGTTCTGCGCAGCTGCGGCCGGGGAGCCCTCCTCCGAGAAGTCAGCCACATACCCATCCCCCTCTGCATTCTCAAACTCCTGCAGGTTGGGCCAGCACAGGTGGGCGATCAGGCACCACAGAGGGTCAGGGGGAGACATGGGGGATGCACAAGGCCCACTTCCCAGAGTTCCACTGGGCTTACACAGAGCTAGACGTGTAACCCTGTTGGGTGGCCTCTACACACCTGTTCATAGTCCCTAACGCTTCTGGGATGCCATTCCAGGAGGGCCAAAAGCCTCAGCCTCACTGGGGCAGTCAACTCAGGCTGAGTCCTGCCTGGGGAACGGCTAGAGACAGGGTTCAAGGCACAGGAACAGAGCAAACCCCATCCAGTGGTCCCCACCTGGCTTGGAGTAGACTCATAGTCAGGGGCTCCGTTGCTCAGCCCTGGGAAAGTAACTAGGTGGCCCCTAGCTAGACAGGGTGGACGAGGCAGCCAGGGATTTGTTCGTCACTCCCGTCTCTGCTCTGGGTACCACTACCACCACCAGTGCCCCAGGCCCCCTAAGAGCCTGCTGCTGGGCACCCCTGGAAGCCACTCTTGGGACAGGCTGCTATTTTGCGGGGTAGAGATCACCCCTACCCCACCGCATCCTGAGCACCTTCCAAGCAGAGTCAATCTGGGAAGGGCCACACAGCCTAGAGTTTCAAGCAAAGACGGGGTGAGTGGCAGAGCACTTGCCTAGAACCACAACACAACACAACAGGGGCAGCGTGAAAACAAGACCATCCTGTCCTAGGCACTGGGCAAGCCTCCCGGGCACGCTGTCCCGCCCGCACCTCCTGCCCAGGCGGGGAGCCGAGGCGCTGAGGATTGAGGACCTGAGTACTGTCTAGAGACTGGCTTAACCACTCCAGGCCACATCCCTGTGGACAGACAGTTAAACGTACCCTGGGGAAACCTCTTTCTAGGTCACTTGTCTTCCTGTAAGCGGGGTGGCCCTATGCTCCTGGTGGCTAGCCCAGGTCTGTACTCTGAGCACACAGAGCCAGTGACATCAGTGGCAACCTCTCTCCCCTGCCCCCAGAGTCTAGAAGACCACCTTAGAATTCCCTCTCTTTCCACACACCTTGGCCTTCGGCGACCACTTCCCCCATTGTATTAGTTCTGACTCCAGCCATTACCTTCCCTTGCTGGAGAGCCAGCCGGGATCCCCCAGCACAGCGGGCGATCAGATAGCACAGAGTGAGCATCAGGGCTGCCAGCCCCGGCCCAGGACAGCTCCAGCGGGGAGCCGACAGCCAAGGCGCAGTGGTGCTGGAATGTCCTGGGCACCATGTTCCCGGGGCTAGAAGGGCATGGGTAGGAGGGGCTGCCACTAGCCCTTGTGTGGGACCCTTGTTCTCAGTGCGCCGGGAGGGGCGCTTACTACACAATGGCCTGCAAAGCCGCACCCTGGGTTCCCACCACCCCCCCACGCCCACAACCTCAACGCTCTGCCCTCAAGGTCCTCCAGGAAAGCAACTCCCCTTGGTTGTCCAGTCTGTGGTCAGGAGACTGTCCCCTGGGGTGGGGGCGCCAGGGCAGGGCAGACCTGAAGCCTCTGGGAGCCACCACACTGCCTGCCACGCAAGTAACTCAACTCCCCTGTCTGCCTGGGGGCCTGTGTCACAAAAGACTTACAGCATTTGGCGAAAGGTTACCCAGTAGGAGGTGTCCCCCCCCCACCAATATACAAGTCCTCTTGCCACCCTGACCTCTGCAGGGTGGCAGACCCCGCCTCCTGCCCAACCCGCCACCCAACGTGGGTGCAGGAATGACAAGGGCTCCGGCCAGGCCTCAGTGCACTGACTGGCAAGGCCGCAGCCCGCTGCGGTGCCTACTCTGGGAGGTCAGCTCTGCGCTCTCCCGTCCTGTCCTCCTTGTCCAGGGGCAAAGGGTGACAGGAGTGGCCACGGGGCTGGGAAGATGCAGGTATGCCCAGGGGTCCCCCTCACTAGGGTGGAGGCCTCAGCTGTGGCATCTAGTCCTAGGGAGGTTGTAGCAAAGGTCTGCCTTCCGTGGCCATGCTACAAATGAGGATGACTTCTGCAGCAGCAGAGAGATGCCCCTTGTGTCTGGAACCTAACGGATGTCCTTTGAGCCCAAGACGCCCAAGCTAGGGGATCTCCCAAATGGCGGTGTGGGTGCTGGGGAAGGGTTCACTTTTCCCTCTGACCCAGAAAGCAGAGACCTCAGGGTCTCGTTGGGGCCAGTTGAGAGCGCTCCCAGGAGCCCTTAAAGACTGCTTACGGTCATTTTAGCCTCCCTGGACGTGGACAGGCCTGACTTGGTGCTGGAATGGGAAGGCATGAGGCCATGTCTACAAAGGGGGGGGTTCCTAAATGAGGGGCAGGGCATAGGGTCCCAGGAGCCCCCAGGAGAGGGGTTCGGTTGGTCCCAGGTGGCTCCAGGAAAAAAGCCAACTGTGGTGGCGGCCCCAGGATGGAGGGGTGGTGGGTGGTGGGTGGTGGGCGGGCTCATCGGGCCCTTAGGATCCTGTGCCCTCACCTTGAACCCAATGCCGCCCTTCTTACAGCACAGGCAGGCCAGCATGAGGACGATGACTGTGAAGAGCCCCGAGAAGGACACGGCTACCACCGCGAGGGAGGACGACCAGGACAGCTCGCTGAGTGGGGCACCGTCTGCAAAGGGAGTAGAGCACACGCCTCCTCTCAGCCTCGGCGCGGGACCCCCGCCTCTCGCCGCCCCTGCACCTGGACACGGCCTCAAGCCAGAGGACCGAGGAATGGCCTTGTTAGCCAGAGACTACCGTTCCGGGGAAGTGGCCAGCGTGGGCTCCGTTCCCAGTCCTGAGGTTCATGGACACCTCCCTGTTATATGAGGGTCTTGGGCTGGAGAGATGACTCAGCCGTTAAGAGCGCTGGCTGCCCTTCCAGAGGACCCGGGTTCAATTCCCAGCACCCACATGGTGACTCAGAACTAACCCCCACCTCCAGTCCCAGGGGACCAATGCCCTCTCTGGACCAGGCACACACATGGTATTCAGACAGGCCTTTAGGCAAAAACATCCACACAGGTTAAAAAAAAAACACATATTTGAGAAAAAGTCCCACATTCGTGTCTCCGGACCCTGCTCTACCACTCTGCCCACTTTGGGGCTGAAGGCCATCCAAGGTGCAGGGATCCCACTGGCCCTGAGAAGCTGGGCAGCGGTGGCCCCGTATGCAACCCTCTACATGCCCCCAGCTCCCTCGGTGCTGCGTCCGACTAGGGCGGCAGAAACTCCTCCCTTCTTTAGCCCCTGATCTCACCCCATCTCAGACTGGGGACACCGAGGAGCTTAGGAGAGCAGAACACGACCCCCAGCCCCTCACCGGCGCCCCTTAGCAGACAAAGGCTGGGGGAGCCGGCTGTGGTGACATCAGCTGGCTTACGGGGCTAGCGCAGCGTGTCTGCTGTATGCGAAGGCCTCTGCTTGGGAACGGCTGTGCCTTGTGGGCCTGTCCTCCCTCAGCACACGGGCTCCGAGGCGCCCTCTGTCCCTAGAGGCCTTCCTTCTCTAGCCCATGGATCCTCACTAAACTCCCAGCGATCTAGAGTGCCCAGCTACTCTGGGTGCTGAGTCTCTGCAGTCACTGACTCACTCTGTCATGGAGGCCGGGGGGGGACCAGACTCGGCTCGGAGCACCTGGGAGGGCTGCCCGGAGGAAGAGTGCACCCGAAGGTGAAGAAGACCACAAGCACAGGCTGATATTTCTGCTTGGGTGCCGGTGAATACTTCCCACCCTACGCCTGGAGATGAGCGGGTGCTTGTGGGCCAAAGCAGAGGCCAGGCGGGGCTGAGGAACAAGGGGACAGGGGGCGGTCAGCAAAGCAGAGTGTGGTGACGCCATAGCGGGGTAAACAGCCAGTAGCTAAAACTCCACAGGAGGCAGCCACTTTCCATGGGACCGGGCCACACTCTGAGCCAATGCCCTTCCAGTGGCCTTGACAGGCAAGGAGTCTGGGCATGCCTGCATGTGTGTGTCTCGCACATGTGTGTGCCTTACATACGTGTGGCCCTGCGTGTATGTCTGCGAACTAACCCCATGCCACGCAAATGCCACTGCCTGCTCACACCTGAGGGTCACGTGAATGTTAGCGCAGAATCCACAGTAGGGTGGACGCACAGGCATGAACGTATCATGCACCCTCCTGCACCTCCGGAAAGCAGTGAGCCCCTGCGGACTCTGCTATTGCCACGGCGAGCCATCTCTCCGTTCTCCGTCCCGTGCGGTGGCACCAGTACCCGCCCCTCCCACACCCGCTGCTACCAGCATTCGTGCCGACTGATGGCCCTGGGGCCTGGGGCTGCCCCTAGTCTTCAAAGACACGTCTAGAACCTCAGATCACCCCGGCTCACTCCCTGGGCTGCAGGGCCGTGTGCCAGGTAGGGCCAAGCTCAACTACCACTGCGGCCTTGCCCTGGCCTCCCGTCAGGACCTCTGGCCTCCCTGGGGGTCCCTTCTGACGTCCAGCAGGCCAGGGCCACAGCCGCCTGTGACAAGGTGCTGGCTGGTAAGAAGCACTCGGGGGCCTGTGTGGGAGGCACCGAGGTCCTTGTGCTCACAGATAAGCACTGGGGGGACCAGGAACGTCCCTTCAAAGGAAGGGACGCCCACAACCCTCAGAGAAGGTAGGGAAAAAACCTTTTTTTTAACTAAAAGCAGAGAGTAGGGAGTCAGTTTCTCACCCAAAGAGTCTGGACAGTGAGAGTCAAATAGCACGGATTCTTCTCAGTCCCTGAGGTGAAGCATTTTTTTATACAATTACTGAGACGCTCATTAAGACCCAGAGGAGAAAAAAACACTCAGAGCGAAAGCTCTGCGACACTGTGCAAGCGACTGTGGATCCAAGCCTTGATTTCCTAAACAAGGAGCAACTGATGTTGAAAACTAGGAACACAGGGGTGCCAATGTAAAAAGAGCCCACAAAATGGGGGGGTGGGGGATAAAATCCGTTGACATGGTGGCGCACGCCTTTAATCCCGGCACTCGGGAAGCAGAGGCAGGTGGATCTCTGTGAGTTCAAGGCCAGCCTGGTCTACAGAGCAAGTTCCAGGACAGCTAGGGTTGATACACAGAGAAATCCCGCCTTGAAAAGAGAAAACAAACGAACAAAAACCTCCGAAAACTGGATTTTGCTGATTCTGCAGTTTTCACCTAAAATTGTTTACGGTACATAACAGACTATGGGAAATGCAGTGAACTCGAACCTTCCAGCAAGTTCTTCCTCCATGGAGCTATTGTGCTTTGATAATGTTCACGGCTTTGTCTGGTTTACAGTATCAGCCGGTGTGCACTTTGATGCTTGCCTGGGGGCAAACAATTGTTTTCTCTTTCGGGACTTTCTGTGATTATTTCCCGGGTAAGTACCCGGTTAACTAGTTGGCAGAGTCTTCTCGAGCTCAGAATTAAAACTGCCCTGGATTTTGAAGAACCCCAGATCTTTTGTAAACAGCCTGAGGTTTCAATCTTTAGACATTAACGACCACCGTTAATCAAACAATAATCAAACAATAAAAGCCATTGTTTGTTTCTCTAGGTTTGTGCTAGCCTGGGTCTGACATAAGTGACTCTGGCAAGGGCGGCAGTTAGAGGAAGCTCACAGGAGCCTAGCCTCTACGGAGGACATATTTTACACGGTATCCCGAGCTCTTAGTGCATAAGTAGTGAGTGGTTCTCGCATCGGCCTGACATCTGGGACTAGGGTGATGTGTCTGGAGCCTGCTCTGCTGTCAGGTATGTAGAGATGTGTGTCAGAGTGCACTGCAGGCATGCACAGTGCCTCTCCCTAACTAGTCAGCTGCAACGGATAGCCCCGAGCATGGCATGGGGGCCCTGGGGGCTCCAGGAAAATACCATTGTGTCACATCTGGAACTTGACTTTGTCAAACAGATCTTTGTGCATTTCCTTCCTAGGACTCCCATGGCAACTAAAAGCTGATGATGGCCCGTAGTTTATGGAATGAATATTAATTAATCCTTACAATCCACGGGGCCAAGCTGTTGTGGAACAACACCGTCAAATACTTAAGCAGCAAATGTTAAACATGAAAAGGGGGCATATACACTCACCTAAACCCCACACACATGCTATATTTAGCCGTGCTCACTTTAAATATTATCACTTGGAAGGATAATGCTACTTCTATTGCCCCAAAGTGTTTTGCCCTAAAGGCGACATTGCCTAATGCGTATGCTGAATGCAAAGACCTAGAAACTAATCAATGGAGAGGGCCTGGTGTTCTTCTGACACCAGAGTGAGGTTACGCTTGTGTTTTTTCCAGAAAATGAACACAGTCCCAGATGGCTCCCACTCTGATGCATCCGACCAGGAGAGGGAGCACCCCAGAGACCACTGGACGGGTGAGGCGTCTGGAGTTAGAAGGTAAACCCATCAAGATGAGATGTCCCAAGAGGAAGAGGAAGCCGACAACAAGGACTCAACAGTGCTGACCGAAAAAATAATGCTGTTACGTATTCTGACAATATTGCATGTTAATTCTCAATTTGTCAATGCAGAATCCAAAAGGTGTTTTTTTTTTTTTTGGGTCAGGGGGGAATAAAAGCCACACCTTTTTATAATAGGACATGGGAGACGGAATGATGCTGTTTTGCCACACGAAGCATTGTTTTAGTCTTTTCTATTACCAGTCCCAGGAAAAACTA